TCAGTCTGACACAAAATGCCAGCAACATTATTATGAAAGGCTTTCAAGACTTACTTTAAGGTAGCTGTGACATTGCCCTGAACATAAATGAATATTACTTCACCACTAACACGTGTTAGCGCCAGGAGAGCTGCGTATTTAAGGCGAATTATCTACTAAGCTGAGAACTTAGTAGATAATTCGCCCTAAAACAAAAAAGAATAAATTAATAAGTATGGAAGCGTTAGGAATTTACGGCATGTCTCCTTTGATGCCTTTCATTTCATGCCTAGCCTGGAACATAGAGTACGTAGGACCATAGAATAAAGTGCGCGTTGTTCACAACGTAATGTTGAGAGCATTCATTAAGTTGAGCGCGTTTAAAGTTAAAGCGTGTCAAGTTTAATTAAGAGCGTTTCAAGTTAAAACACGAAGTTACCTACTGCTGAAGTGCTCATCCCAGGAATTTTTGATTACATGAAACCATGCATATTGCATGCATACATGCTTTTTAACAATATCGTAATCTTGAAGTTTGTTAAGTGTAGTTGGTGTGCGTTACCCGTCACCGTCTGGGAGTAACTTCTACCCCCCCCCCCCCTCCCCTTCCCCTCTGCCGGTATATCTGGAACCAAGTTCGGAATCAGGGAATGTTAAACGCCGTTTGAATGCTTTAGTCGGTTGCTGTCAAAAGCTAAGTAATAGGTCTCGGGGTGCTCCTGAAGCCAAATTAAAAATGTCAGGTCATGGTCGGTCCAAGTAAGTTTGAAATCTAAAATAGGTGAGTTGAGTTAGCGGAAGTGCTTATTGGTAAGAATCTAGCCTTCTGGGTAGTAAAGAGCCATTGCTCTGGTGGCCATCTAAAAATATGCTAACACAAGTAACCTCAATGAGGACATGAGCCAAAGTCAAATAAATATTATACTTAAAACTTGCTAAGTAAGTCGCGTGGCAATCGTTTAAATCATATGCACCATCAATTTGTAAGGTTACGTTTTTGCTTTTTAAGTTCTTGATAACCAACTGATAACATCAAGCACGTTCTGCTTTTCAGTTACTTCGTGATATGATCGTCGTCTACGAGCCACATGGGTATCATTATGAAACAGCATTAAGGATAACTGAACGTAAACTCCAAAATATTTCCTCATGTGAATTTGATGTAAATTGGCATAAAGGGGCCGTGTCTAGTCGAATTAAAATTTTGCATTGTGCTCGTAGAGTTGCAATGATTTTGAATTATACGCATCGGTGTTCTCCGTTTCTATGAATTTGCTTTTATTGACCAGATATTTCATATGCCGCATTTTTTGGCTGAAAATATAAGGCTATCGGGTGACCTCAAGATAATTTCCAACACTGAATCACCGTTAATATCGCAAACGTATCGTAAGCGTCAGCAAATGGCCTTCTTATTAAGACACGTAGGCACTGCTAGCATATTCCGAGCGTCATGACTACGGCCTTTGCGAAAACAACAATTTTTTGTTGACAGTATTACGGAGGGAATTAAAAGAGGCACAAGTATCACTGATGGTAAAAGTGTTCGGACCGTTGCCATGGTGTACTGTTACAGGTTGTGTAATCTACCTCCCGAGACGACGGCAATAGTCCGAACAGTAATGCCACCCGGAACGCATCCCTGTACGATTTTTAAGTGCGCGTCGCTTTCAGCCGGCAGCCAATCTTCCAGTATGCTTCAAATGCAGCATGCTTGGACTTCCAGGATGCTAAGAAACTGCGACCACGGAGCTCAACGTCTTTCTTGCTCATGACGAGGGCAAGTTTTACGCTGCTTTTCTGGCAGTGGCCGCCTGTCTCACCATTGCTTCCCGGTAGCGGACGACGAAGAGATTGTTGAAGACGCTGAAAGGAAGTGATGCATGCCACGATGTAAGCTCACTTCTGCCGAACTGTACCCGAACAATGCTGCACCCGGGGCCAGGCATGCCGAAGGACAAGCAGCAGATGAAGTGTCCCATCCACGTAGAAATTTCCTCAGACCTGTGGCAGACTCCGGGTGATGAAGAATTAGGGTCAGAGTATGCTTAACTGTGCAGTGGGTGCGTTTTTGCGACCGACGCAAGCAGACCCCCGTGACAGAGCTGCTCTGGCCGCTTGGCAGCGGCACCGATGGTGTAGCCAGAGGGCCGCAACATTGGCATGCTGCCATCCTATCAAATCCTAAAACGCAACAACAGCGACGTTTTTTGTTTCGGTGTGGAACCCCCATTTCTAAATCACCTTTGTGTTTGTTCTGCTATTATAAGGAATTCCCTGTTTTTGGTTCGAATTCTCGCAGACTTATTCATCAGAAAATGATCTGGCATCTAGCATGTCAAGACTATATATGTTGTATAGCTCCATGTAAAAGCAGCTGCAGCGACAATGCCAAATTATCTCTGTATGAAGTAATTGTAAGGCTTTCACAAGGATGGCCACACAAATTCGAGAAGGGGCATAATATGATAGGGAAAAAATATATCATTAACGATTGGAAACATAACAAATACAAGCAGTCTGACAGGATCACGCACCTTTCAAATTCGTCCGGTTATCACCGGGGAATAAACTATCAAAATATACCGTTCCTAATCAGATAAGCTTTGCCCAATGCTACTTTATATTTGAGGTGCTGCATGCAAACGCTGGTTACAAAAATAGCCTTAATGGTACCGCTGGGTCGGTTCGACAACGACGACGGCCATTATGAAGCCGAGCAGGTGGGCACGTTTTTAGCGAGTTGAAAGAAGAAATAACACCAGTTCACCACAACTGCAGAGTATACGCACGTGACAAGCAGTGGGGTAGATCAATTTACCAAGGGTGGTAAACGTGGACCTCAGCCGAACGTCTAATATGTAAGCAATGATCAGTCCTAAACAGCAGATGCGGCTCAAAGGTGAAATGGCCACAGAAGCGCATTTTACCAAAAGTGACCAATTTGGTAATTGTGATACGGTAGGCAACGTCTGGCTACCGCATTGAACGGAGTAACGTTTGAACAGGAAAAAAGATGACATAGTACATAACTTTTGCATTTGATTATATACAGAGAGAGAGAGAGAGAGAGGGAGAGAGAGAGAGAGAGAGAGAGAGAGAGAGAGAGAGAGAGAGAGAGAGAGAGAGAGAGAGAGAGAGAGAGAGAGAGAGAGAGAGAGAGAGAGAGAGAGAGAGAGAGAGAGAGAGAGAGAGAGAGAGAGAGAGAGAGAGAGAGAGAGAGAGAGAGAGAGATATATATATATATATATATATATATATATATATATATATATATGTGTGTGTGCGTGTGATGCTTCTGATATTTCTATATTTTAGCGATGGGCGATATACAGCTGCGATTCTGGAATGCCAGACGGCTCTGGCTTGTTGTACGGCTTGTAGCCGTGAACGGCACGCACCCATCGGCATACCCTGGCCGCTAACGCCACAAACCCATCGGCATACCCTGGCCGCTAACGGCACGCCCCAATCGGTATACTCTGCCCGCCAGCACTACGCACCCTGGCCTGCTAACCATCAAGCGTTATTTCAAAGCGTGTGCCTCTGTTGCGTGTGGCATGCGGCATGAAAGCGACCGTGAAGACAAATCATCTGTACGGCCAGTGGCATCTGCTGAGACAGCTGCGGCGGCAGGAGCCTCATGTGGACAGTCGTGGGCGGAACGGTTCGTCGGGTGCCAACGCCCGGGGTGAGCCGTGCACCGCCCCAGGCGGTTCAGAGCCCAGGTCACGTGACCTAGGGGTCTCGCACAGGGGAGGTGTCTCGACGAACCGAGCGCGGAGAGGCCGAGCGATACGGCACGTGGGGAAGGATCAACCACAACAGCTTCTTTCCAGGTACCTTCAGCATCATTGTAGTGATTTTGGTGTATGCGATGGGAAAGAATCTCAATAATAGGTGCTATAGAATATATGTATATGTATATGTATGTATATATATATATATATATATATATATATATATATATATATATATGTATAGTAGAATCTCAATAACAGTATCCCAGAGGACCGTCACCTTGCGAGCCGTTGCCCATAGGACCGTCACCTGGTGAGCCGTTGCCCATAGCACCGCCACCTGGCGAGCCGTTGCCCATTGGACCGCCACCTGGCGAGCTGCTGCCCATAGGACCGTCACCTGGCGAGCCGTTGCCCATAGGACCGCCACCTGGCGAGCCGCTGCCCATAGGACCGCCACCTGGCGAGCTGCTGCCCATAGGACCGCCACCTGGCGAGCTGCTGCCCATAGGATCGTCACCTGGCGAGCCGTTGCCCATAGGACCGCCACCTGGCGAGCCGCTGCCCATAGGACCGCCACCTGGCGAGCTGCTGCCCATAGGACCGTCACCTGGCGAGCCGTTGCCCATAGGACCGCCACCTGGCGAGCCGCTGCCCATAGGACCGTTACCTGGCGAGCTGCTGCCCATAGGACCGTCACCTGGCGAGCCGTTGCCCATAGGACCGCCACCTGGCGAGCTGCTGCCCATAGGACCGTTACCTGGCGAGCTGCTGCCATGACCTGGCGAGCTGCTGACGGTCCTATGACCGTCACCCGTCACATGTTTTCTGGTTGCATTGCCATTGTACAGCAATCTCTTTTGTCAGGTCATGTGTCGTGAATATGGTAAGGCCCGTAATTGAGTATGTGAAGGAACATTGCTTTCGATAAGAAGCCAAAAAAACTGCGAGAAATGCATTCAAACACAGTTTTCGTACCGGTTGTTTCTGGGCTTAAAATGCGATGAATTTTAGTCGATGGCTACATTTTTCTACATTATTTACCAATTTCATGACTTGTGTGGCTGCTTTAGTGATTTTCAACATCATCCAAAAGATGCGCTGCTCCCTCTGGTTCGATTCGATCTTCTGCTATCGCAACACGGCATATTTGACCGGGCTTTATACTCGTTGCGGTATGGCAAGCTCATCGCGATGGTACGATTCTCGAGGTACGCGTCTCCATGTTCCAGGGTCCTTCGTCGCGCGTTCACGGCAGGGGCAGCGCCTGGTGTCTGGCAGGTGGCGCTGGCTCGATGCCACCGAGGCCGGCGAACCCTGACCCCAGCAGCGCTGTATAGATGGCGCGTCAGGCTCTGGTCTCGCGAGGCGGATGGGTCATGTGTCAGCGGTCGTTGGGATTCTGCCTGTGATCTGGAATGTATGATATGTGATCTGAATAGCCTGATCTGTGATCTATAGAGCCTGATCTCGAGGGTTGTAGGACAGGGGGTTTGTGAATTGTCAAGGAATGTGCGTTCTGCCTGTGGATTTGGCGAAGAGCTGTTTTCTGCGAAATGTATCTATTAAGTCTCAATGATACATGAACGTTTAAGAGCTCACCATCCACTCACCATTATGACCTTGCTCAACCAACGAAACATTCACATCACTTCCTTCATAATCTGCATAATATGCTTCGTAATAATGTGGAAAAATCGGACAATTAGCAGTGTGGGATATTGGAGAAGTGGGAGGGATGCAATCACATATGCTCTAACAGTTCCTGCGCCAATGGAATGCACTGATTTGTGGTGTTAAGCAATCCAAATTTATTTCCCTTTTGAGGATTTGACACTAATTTACGGTCTAGCACCTCTGTCTGCATGGTACTTTAGTTTTGCTGTTAGATTCAGGCCGCAAGTCTCTACCGACGGTATCTCTCTTTGCATGTTTGTTCATGTTTGCATTCTGAGGAGTGCCGAAGCTCATTCACGAAAGCAGTTCTTCATGCTGAACAGGTGTCGTACTGCAACATCTCTTCCAGGCACCAAACCAGGACAGCAGATATCTGGAGGAACACCGATCCCCGCAGCGGTACGGTGCGTGACCATATATCATGCGTCAACGTTTTTCGTTGACCCACGTCTCGGACATCCACAAAAAAATGATTGCAAATAGTTCGACGTTGACAATCGTAATCATTATTCCCGCGAAGGATTTCGGTCAAAACTGCAGTCGTAGTTATAGGGATGGACCACAGATAGCAGTGCAGTCGCCTCTATAGAGATTATGCCCACCACTAGTGACCTCCAATCAGCTCGAAGGGATTGGCCAAGGATGTCACGCTGGTTTCTTGACCACCACCGCAGCCTTCATGCAGTCGAATGATCATGCCTGATGTCACAGGTTCGCTGATAATGATGCTCAGTTCGTCTTCATCAATGCATGCATCCGTAAATCATTATCCTCGTGGCCAATGGGACACACGGCAAGGGGCTAGTCAGTCTCCAACCCTAGCCAATGTTTCACATCCACTCAACACTAAAAGACGGCTCTAAATTCTTTAAGAGTTTCGGCTGTTTTGTAACATGCAAACGCCAGAAAGCACATGCAAGGTTACGATCGTCCGCCTCTTGACGAATGGCGCCCATCGAACTGGGGTGACATGTTTTGTGAACCATGAACAGATGGTCAGTTGCGTTTTTGACCGCAAGTACTTTACTAATTTGGTACAGTTCACGTCAGACCTGTTGGTCAGAACGCCCAGTACTTGCCAAGTTTCTTGTACATGTTTTAAGTTCGTCCAAGAGTTCCTGATGTGCAGTTCATGCCGCTGAAGTTTCGTCTCGCAGAGGCCCATCCGCGTCTGTCAGGCCGTCATTGGTGGCAGCAATGCACTCACTGACGCCACGGCCTTACCAAAGACCTTCTGATGTCATGCCACCACTTGCCGTTCAACGATGAGCGGGCAAACGGCTGTGGCGAGGACGCGTTCTGACGTGCGGCTGCCGTCATCTGGACGGGCCTCATAGGTCACAGGTTACACAGAAGTAGCGATCTTGTTCGTGTCTCGCCTCTTTCGCATGGGGCGGCTTGCAAGGAGGAATGTTGTCCGTAGGACTGTCAGCTGGCAAACTGTTGCCTGTAGGACCGTCACCCGGCAAACTGTTGCCCATAGGACCGCCACCTGGTAAACTGTAGCTCACAGGACCGTCACCTGGCAAGCTGTTGCCCGTACGACCATCACCTGCCAAACAGTGTGCTGAAGTGATATTCGTGTATATAACAAGGTGGTGAAGCAGTGAACGGCAACTGGGAATGTGTACAGTTCGGTTTTCATTATGCGCTTAGTTGGCTCGGCCCACGGCATTGTTCGGGGCGCAATGTGCAGGGGATCATGTGGCAAAACAGATCTCAGCGGGGTGTGGTGCGAGCAGAAGGGATTCCTTTTCCAACCGGTGTGTTGTTCGTCATTGTGATGTGATGGTCGGGCAACACATTCAAAAACTGATACGACTCTGACATGCTCTTGGAACGCTCATTGGCTGCAACTGGATGGGCAGATGCACTGAGTTGCACGATGCACGGGGTGGAGCCGGCGTGCCGGGCGTTCGCTAACTCCCCTGGGACCGGTGGCCGCGCCGCCGCCTCCTCCCGGCTCTCACAACAGGCCGTCGATGGCCGCGCCAGATTACCCACCGCCGCGCCATCGAGCGATTCCCTACGAAAATGAGCGTAAACAGACGGCCGGAGAGTGGCGCTAGAAAGTGTCGGCGAAGCACCTGGGCCCGTCGCGGCCCGTCTTGAGCCATGAGTGCGGCGGACGGAGGAGAAACGGACGTGTTGCACCGTCAAGACGGGCGTAAACAGAGGCCCGCTGGCGGCCGTGACTTTCTCCCGCCGCCGGCCCCGGCAACGTCTCTGATGATCGTCCCTGCCACGCACCACGGTCACGTGCAGTTCCGAGTCCTCCACGACTTGCGATTGGTGTGGGGCTCTTGCCAGTCACGCGCCCCACAGGCGTGGATTCGGCTTCCTTCACCGCCGGACTGCGTGGAGGCCACGCTTCGCAAAGTCGCCGGCGATTACTCTTCATCTTCACTTGCTCTCTGCCCTAATGGGCGTACTCAACAGTTCGTGGTGTGTTGAGTCATCAAAACTTTGCTGTGACCGCTTTGGCTTACTTAATTTGTGAGTGTTTGGACTCGGCATTTTCTAAACATCTTTAGTCCACAGCCAATATAGCTCTTAGTTCATGCAGTGATCGCTGCTTTCCACGCCCGCATCTGAGTCATGGTCCGGATGTTCGGCTTACTTGAAGTACTGCCCCTTTCAGCCACGAAAGAAAGCGCACAATGCATCGTGACTACGGAAGTTCAACGACCCCCGGCTGTGCCAGGGAATAGGGAACGCCCCACCCAAGTAGCTTTCGCGGCCGTTGGAACCGCCGGGGATAAACATTCACCTTCTGCAAAACTGTTTCTTTTTCTATTCTTTGCTATCTGTCAATTGTAGGCATATCCCCACAGTGACCAGCTCCTCGGCGATGGTCCAGGCACTGCGTGCCTGCTTCAGCAAGTTTATATTTCCAATCAAAGTTTTGTGTGCGGTTCGAGCGCTCCGGATGCGTCCAGCCGGCCATGAAGACTGACATGTGCAGCGCTGGCTGCTGGCGCCAGCGGCTCTCGGTTGACGAGCCGGCGCCAGCTGGCGGCCCCTGGCTCGCGGCGGGCGTGCGGTCAGTCGACGGCCGAGTTTAGGCGTTTTTGGACGAGCTTCCACTTGTCGGCCATATGCCAGCCGCTGTTGCCACGGAGAGGGAAACTCTGTCAAGCTGCGGCGTGGGCGGGCTTGTTTTGGGTGTGCCGGGTGTGTAACAAGCGTCGGACCATTTTACGTTATTCTTGACCTTTTAAAAAATTTCAGTCTTAACTTTTTGTTGAACAGTTGGATTTCTGGAATCAGAGCTTACGTTAAGCAGTGCTTGTTTTGTGAACCCTAACCCCTTTCATCGATTAGATAATTCTGGGTCAACGGCAGAATTCGGTGGCGAAAGTTCGACGTGCCGCAGTGTTCAGACACGGTTCGTCCTACCCCCTGAAGTCACCTGACCTCTAACGCGGTTAGCGGTTAAGTTAACATATGTTAGCCTGCCGAGGCACTACCGATCGTTTAGGGGCCCACCACACTGGTCCTGGATTCTTTTTCCTTGCTCTGAGGATCCTATACTTGTTGACAGAAGCCATTTTGTTGGCCTCCTGCGGCACCCATAATAGCTCAGGTTTCGTTCCAATTGCCCTCTTGCCTTTGCCTTAGAGCAGTAATTGAAGATGCGCCGACGAATTTTTACGCACAGTTGCCCAATGTAATTGTACATGCCGCCAACTTCGTATGCGTCATTTCCATTGGCTTTTGACAGTGTGACACTTATTATACTAGTGCATCACGTTCTAATCGTACTTTGAATGTTAGGATATGTTGTACTCATTTATAACAAAGGAAAAATCATGCATTACTCATCAGCCATCAGCTGGTTATATCGCCCAGCCGGCTAGCTGTAAATACGTAGGCTAGGAATCAAGCCCGTGCTTGGTTTTGGTAGTTGTGAGCAGCCAACTCAAGTTTATTTTGCCTGCTGTTCCGAAACACTTGACTTGAAAATCGCAGCATTTTACATGATCTGTAGAAAGTGGGTGAGCTCAATGTGTATGCATGCGTGGCACGCATAGCTTCATAGGGCCGTGCACGGTAAGAAGGGTTTCAGGTTTTTTGACAATAAATAGATCAGTAAATGCACATATATCTATAACTATATACGTATTTATATATATATATATATATATATATATATATATATATATATATATATATTTCATGCAGTTTGTACTAAAATGTAATGACCGAAAAGCAAAAATATTTTTGGAAGGCTCCCAAACTCCAGGGGGCCCTACAATGTTGCGTGCCCCCCCCCCCCCCTGACGAAATCCTGGATCCGCGCCTGGTAGCCAGATTACCGTGATCAGTACCCCCAGGGCTGCAGGGCTTACTTGTACTTTGGGAGGGAGGCTGGGACATGGTACCAGTGGCCAAAGAAGGAGGAATTTAAGATGCAGCCTACACCCCAGACCCCATCACCATCCAGACAGCGCCTGGAAAACCAGGAGGTCAGGTCCTTGTGTCTCTGAGTCGGAGCCCAGGTCGGAGCCAGGACCCTCAACTTTGTTGTGGATATGGTAGCAGGCGTGTCTCTTGTCGCTCGTGCTTCAGTCCAGGAATTGCTGCTCCAGCCCAGCGCTGTCCAGATTTCGACCGCCAACGGTGCATCTCTCGGCGTCTATG